GTTATAGTTTTGGGTAAAGTTGATCTTGAATAGCTCTCTTCCGTGTATAATCTTGCTAGGTCCATATCAAATGAATCTTCCTTTGACTTAATCACCACTGCTATCTGAAACCACTCCAAGCATGTCATGGCTAATCTATGAAATCTCGAGTTACATGATAAATTAAGAAGCTTCATTAATAATTACAACTATATTGGGATTATTGGTAATGGAGTAACCATAACCCTGATGGGCTAGAAAAAAATTTCGATTTTAGGATTTAATATCTGGGTTGGTAAAATGTGCACTGGGAAAATGTGAGACCTGCTTTGCCATATTAAATTTGTTCCTGATAACTTACTGCTCACTCAGTCCAATTCAATGTACTTCTACCAAGATTGATATATTTACTGGCTAACAATCATAACTGGTTAACATTCTATCTTCATGTAGGTAAATGGAAAATTCAATGATGATCAACGTCTCGTATATAATGTAAGTGCATTGCTTCTTGTCCAGTTGTCAATGTTGTGCATTACAGAACATGAAGAGTAACTTTTTTGTTTCAAGTTAGATGCTTTATTTGGTAGTTATCCAATGCTTCTAATTTGTTGATTTATATTTTCTGTTTGGGTTTTGTATTCTTTTCCAATTAGATTCAGATGGTGATGGAAAGGTATTGCCTAACTTATGACAAGTTGGAAAATATCATTTTGCTAGCACATTGGTTGCCTAACCTCCTATCACCATTTGGTCACAATTAGATTAGTGAATGAGAAACTAAAGCACCTGGGTTTAGGTGTACTAAGTCATTTCTTATTTATTTTGTTCTGTTCAACAAGTTAAATGTCTTATTCACAATTTCTCAGGCAGTTCTGAAGGCTCATAATGAGGTTATGTCTGCAATAAAGGACGGAGTAAGCTGGATTGACATGCACAAGTATGGTTTTGTACATCTTAATTTTTCATCCTTCATCTTTATAGTATCTATAAGTATAATATAAGTGCTTACAAATGATACTTGCATTCGTTGCTCTGATGCTTCTCTTTTTCTTTGTAAAATTGTTGAGTATCTTTTATCATTTTTTTGGGTCAAGGTTATCAAGCATCAGAGTTGCAGAGTGGTGATATTTACATTTATGATATAAAATGAATGCTAGTTTGCACATGTATGGAGTTTGAGATCTCTATCATTAGGAACCTTGGTTCATCTGCCTGTGATTGCATTATCATTTTGAGTGGAACATCATAGTTACCATAACTTTGAGTTTAGCTGCGTAAATTAATGTTTTGTTAATGATATTCCATATTTAATTCCGATGCAAAACAGATTAGCTGAGCGGCATATTTTGGAGTCCTTGGTAGAGGGAGGAATTCTCATCGGGTATGAGTCTTTTGCATGAGAAATACTTAGAATGATCAAGTATCAGCATGTAATAGAATTTTTTTTATTGGTAAGCATGTGATAGAAGCATAAAATTGATATTCCTTCCAGGAAGGTTGATGATATGATGGAAGAAAGATTGGGTGTCATCTTCATGCCCCATGGCATAGGACATTTCCTTGGGATTGATGCTCATGATCCAGGAGGTTATCCTCAGGTCAGTCATTTCTTTGATTGAGGTGTTGTGTGGTATGGCACAAGAGAGTCTTAATGTTAGCTTGTAATGTTTTTGCCTTCACCCAATTGATGATCTGAACTGTTTTTTTCTCACTCTTTTAGGGGATAGAGAGACCAACAGAACCTGGGCTCAGGGCATTGCGGACAGCTAGACAACTCAAAGAAGGCATGGTTAGTCAGATAATAAGATTTTTTATTGATATCTAGTATTCTTTGGTCTCTTTTAACACTTAAAAAGAAGTGCAGTGTAATCTAGAACATCTTTACCGAATATACATGTGGCCAGTTCCCATTTGCCAAGTTTTATACACCTCTAGGCACCATCATGTTTTTTATGATTCCTCTGGGGTTGAAAATATCTTAAGTTTAGGAGCAAATCTCCTAGATACCAAGTCAGATTCTATCCACATGAATTACAAAACTTGTGGTTATGATGTTATACATGGTTAAAGTGTTAATAAATTCAGAGATGCATATTTTGATTAGTGACTTTTCCACTAAGAACTCTGTTCTGATGTGATGTAATTGCAGATAAATATGCCAAAATTTCCCAATGTGTTTGTGTATAAAATTTTATCAGGACCTATATATAGGCCAAAGTACATAATGCCTTGCCTGTGAATCATTACACTGCACCACACTAATTACAATCACAAGCAAAAGAGCATCAAATTGAAATTGCTTATTCTTTTGCTTTACTTTAACTGCAGGTGGTTACAGTTTCACCAGGTTGCTATTTTAATGATGTTCTCCTAACATCAGCAGTGAATAATCAGAACATGTCTAAGTTCATCAATAGTGACATGATTGCACGGTTTAGACAATTTGGTGGTGTCCGAATTGAAAGTAGTGTAGTATGTATCTCTCTTAACTGAATCTATGATCAATCTCACTGGCGTTTTATAGGTTGGATTAACAGATTTAAGAATGAAAAAATAGCAAGATTGATTATGGTTTCAAGCATTGGTTGACAGATGAATACAAAAAATAGAAAAATAAAATTAATGTTGTCAGACTCAGGCCTGACAAAAACCAGAAAACTCGCTGGGTCATGGGTTGACAGTTTAACCGTTTGTTAGATCATTCAACCTAGGAAAATAATTAAAAAAACAGGGGCATGGAATTTTCATCTGTCGCCTATTTACCAGTTGAAACTGGGTCTGATTTGAGTCTGACAATACTGGATAAAATCTTTTTGTTTGGGACTAGCAGTTAGGAGAATTGGTGAAACCACATTTAGTAGTTTGAAGAAATTCATCAAATGGAACCTTAATACAAGTTTCTGTTTGTTCAGCATGTAACATCTAATGGATGTGAAAACCTCACCCACCTGCCTCGAGAAACATGGGAAATTGAATCCGTCATGGCAGGAGCATCCTGGCCTTTGGACAATGAAACAATCCTGAAATATCAGAATACTGGCCTTTCATCTACAACATCAAAGGAAGATCCTAAAATGGGCCTTTCATCTGCGACACTGGAGGAAGAATCAGCAACTGCCCAATTGGAGAAGAATGAAATTTCATCCTCAACATCGGAGGGAACTCTCACTACTACCGAGTAGCAAGCTGAACCCCTTGACGCAATATTGAAGTTGTATCAGCCACCAAATCTTTTTTGTAACTGTTGTGTGTCACTTTTTTCTTGGATTCTGGATCCGGAGGCATTCTGTTTTATTTCTTACTGTTAATTTGAGCATTCCTTGCATGGAAAGCTGTAATGGGCAACAAGAAAAGGAAAAGATTAGCATGTTTTAGTACACCACCAGCACAAATTAGGGAAAATGACGGTTCAGCTCAGGGTCAGTGTTTATACGCTCAAAGTACATTTTGGGTAGGTGTCAGTTTGGAATTGATATTAATTCACGGGCGGATTTAGGTGTATAGAATGTGGGTTTTGACCTTTCAAATGTTTAAGGTTTTGCAGTGAAAATCAGAAATCTACATTGGGCCTATCTGTAGAAAATCAGAAATCTACATTGGGCCTGTCCGTATTTTTCCACACAAATTAGGGAGAATGATCAATCAGTTATAGTCCCATAGTACAGGGGGAGTGCATCTGACTATGAATTGATGATTTATAAGGGGGAGAGGGCTAATTCTGCATCGGGTGTATCCGTAGTCCGCACAAATTATTGTCTGACTCCGGAATTTATACGCGAACAGGCAAAATAAAAGGTGACTTTCCAATTTCCTGTCTATCATTTCTCCCCTCGAATCCTCCTTGATGTAAAACGGCCAACTGTCGCACTTGACGTACTTTGTTGACATTCCTCGACAAGGACAAACGGTTTGATGTGATGCTGGGCCCATCGTTGCCGATCAGACCTTCCACCGTTACATGATGGATTGCAAGTGTCTTTAGATTTTTGGACAGAGATGACGATGTAGGGTCAGTCAGAGTGGGATATGGTATTATGGTTGATTATATTCCAATCCAAAGTCAGAAGCGTTCTCCTCACGTGGGGACCCCCTTATTATGTTCCGCCCCTTAGTTGATTAGATTCCAATCTGATGGGAGGCTTTATCTTCAGTTTTTCTTCCAATGAACATTCTTTTAGAACTCCATGTCTTTCTTGAAATGCTCGAGTTTGTGTTAAATTATGTCACTCAATCTGCATTATCAATAAAGCATCTCGAATAGCTAGCTATATTTGTGTCTAAAAATTGTAAGGCATGACACATGTTGGTAACTTTCGGTGAAATATCTTCATGTTATTAGAGTTTTGAGAAACTCTTGTTGCCTTCTTTAAGAAACATGCTATCTTGTGGATTTTCTTTTACATGTCAAGATCTGATAGTTATATTAACCCAGTTCTCCATCTTAATTTTTAACATGCCATCTCCGTTTCTGCTCTTGCGTAGATTTTGTGAAAATCCACGCTGACACGAATAGGAAATGGACGGCTTCCATAAAGATGAAGAACTAGATGAAATTAAAACTGCAATAGAGAAACTCAAGCAGACCATAACAAGGAAATGATAAACAACACAGATCAAACCCTTGTTTTGGATATCCAACAAAATTGTGTAAAATGATAAATGAAGATCGGTTGATCAGATCATATATGATCCATCTATGGAAATCCAGACATTAGTGCAAGGTTCAAAATATCGATACGCTTGATACACCCGTATGGGCATATCGGGCAAATCGATACTCTTTTTGGTGGTTTTTTTTTTAATTTTTTTTTGCCAACTGGTTCAGAGGTGTATCGGTGGGGTGCCGGAACGATACATATCGACTGATACGTGTCGATACTTTGAACCTTGCATTAGTGACTAGTGGTGGAAGTTTATCATCAACGAGCATGCAAGTGCATATAATGTCCTCATTGGGACAAAAGGGGATACATCCTGCATCCCTGTTAAGTAGAAATGATTTGGTTGACTTTCCTGAATTACTATGAACTCACTGATAGCAATAGATTGCAAATAATTTCTGTAACAGTTGTATTGTATTGATTTTCCCATTTGAATGAGAACTACAATAAACAATCTCAGACAATGTGCACAAACTCCACAACCTTTCAAAAGCAAAATAAGGAAAAACTAATCATTTTCTCTTGTTCCTCTCGGTCTCGGATGGAACTGAATTTTGAGTAAATGTAGCGAGCCCCTGTCTCAGTGCTCCAAGGTTTACCCCATTGCCAACAAAAATGCTTGTCACACCCATTTTTGAAACCTGAAATTAACCAATACATAATTTAAATGTCTGAGAAGTATCCTCCAGATGAGAATTTGCAATTTTCTCTATATATGTAAAACATAACCTCAGGACATACTAAAGACAACAAGAGTTTTATTTTTCCTTACCGCATCAATGTTTCTATCCTCATCATCGAAAAATAGCATTGAACTAAAGGGAACCCCGGTCCTTCTATGGATTCTTTGGAAATGCTCTGTCTTGTGGGTCCAACTGGAGAAGATCTCCTGCACCATCAAAGCATCAACGGCAATGATTACTCAAAATTAGACGGGGAGAGAGGAAACTTCAGATTATGTGAAACCTAAACTAACAAATATAAAGGAAGAAGATGAAATTAAAGAAATCCTAGAATTCACAGTCAAATATATAATAGAAAAAAAAAAAAAACATATAAAGATGAACTTAAGAGGGTCAGAGCCAACAGCTAGGAGGAAACACCAGCAAGGCCTCCCCCACACCCACACCCAGAAAAAGTGTTTAGACATAGAGACCACTATACATGTACATAAACTAAGCAAACAAACATAAATGGGTGAAGGAAGAAAATAAAATCAAAGCAGACCTATCATTCAAGGTCAAATGTATTATAGACCAAAAAACATATAAAACATAACCTTTATAATATGCAACTAGAAGGGCTGAAGAAATGCAATGCTCAACTCTTCCCAATAACCAACCAAAAGTTCAGAGGAATCAAAGCCTGACGTCTTGATTCCCTTACACTGAAGCAAATAGCATTAAAATGTGTAGTGAAAATTCTAGATTTCACTGTAAAAACTAAACTCCCTCCCAAATCTAAGGCCCATGATATTCCCCTATGTTTTACATGGATTGGACATCCAAACCGAAGCCCTTACTTGAATGAGATCCTCATGGCATGAACTTAAAGAAGACAAACTAGAAGGCTGAAAACGAGCCCTTTACTGTATTATAGACATCACTTTTCTACAAGTCAATGAAGTCTATGTCTTCCTTTTGCACCATATCTCTCTTTGATATCTACTCAGGCACTACTTGTTCATTGAAACATTGTCTAGTCCTATGGGTGACCATAGGAGACACTATCATGTGCAAAGCACATATATTTCATATGTGTGTGTCTAATATATGCAAAAGGTCTCCTGATCCAGTCAAGTACAGAAGTTCCCTAAATGACTTAAGCCAACCAATTTCTTTCACATGTAGGATTCCTGTGGCCAGCCCAGACTGTCCATCAGATGGATGACCCTATTGATCAGTCATGTCTGGATTCCTGTGGCCAATTCAGATAGTCCATCGGATGGATGACTCTTGGGATCAGTCATGCCTGTTACGCCCCATCTTGTGTTGCAGTTTCATTTGATTAATAATAATCCTCCAAATTTTCATTTTTTGATTTAAAAATACCATTAAAATGCATTTTTGCAACAAAGCAATGTCTTCTATGACAAAACTTATTCTACAAATATAGGGTGGAGAAGAGGAACACAACGGTTCTCTTTGGCTCTATACTTGTTATATATCAGAGATTTGAGTTGTTTATGCTTCTTCGCTAAACAAACCTACTTGTTTTACGTATGCAAATACTGATAACTCCTCCACATTTACCCCTGCTGCACCTTTTAACTTGCCTCAGCCTCCCCTTTGATTGTCACTAAAGTGGAGACCTGCTAAAATCCACAATCTGGTACACAAATCATGTCCTTTCATGATCTGATCCAATGATAGAATGGAAACTTTACCTTTTAATGAGGGTATCCGTACTTTGCACATTACAAGTAGGTGCACTCCAACAGCTCAGCACAATAAAGCTTGAACCCAACAGTCCACAATCTGATTCACAATTCATGCCCCTCATGAACTGATCCAATGAAAGAATGGACACTGTCTGCAAATTAAGAAAGATATGATTTGATTGATTAAGAGATTTGAATAAATTTAGGAAAGATTAGATTTGAATAAATTTAGGAAAGTCATATCCTAGGATTAGGGCTGTTCACGGGTCGGGTTGGGTCGGTTTACTGGCGTTTTTCCAACCGACCCGACCTGGTCAGTTTACCTAGAAATAAAACCGAAATCGACCCAATACTAGGTAAAACCGACTTGGTCGGTTTGAATCGGGTTGGGTCGGTCTGGTGAATGATTCTCTCGGTGTGAACGACAACGGTAAAAGATTCAAGTCTAAGAAAGCAAAGGCTGGATGCCTGAAAATTAAAAATGATTTGATGGATTAAAACTGATATTTTATATTTAATATGTATACTTCTGAAATAAAGCTGAAATATATATATATATATATATATAATATCTGAAATATATTATATATAATATATATCTAAGTCGGTTTGGGTCGATTCGGTTTATGTTTTTTTGTAACCCAAAACCGACCGGTGCTGAAGAAAAACCGGCCAACTCGGGTTGGATCGGACCGGGTTGGTCAGTTTGGGTCTTGTTATGAACAGCCCTACCTAGGATTAAGGGAAAGATTTAGTCAATCCCTGATTCAGAGAGATTCTAGGGGTTTGTCTTTCCTATCTTTTCTTATTTAAGTTGTATGCTCAAAATGTTTTGATTATCAATAAAGAAAATCTTCTTCTTTTCTCCCTCTATATTTCACAACATGGTATCAGAGCTTTAGGGTTTGATCATGAATTTTAAGGCCGCCATGGTTGGCTCAGGTTCAGCATCTTCGGATGCTACCAGTGGTGTGACGTCTTCGGAGGGAGGTATTTAGTCAGCGGCTATTTCTCTTTCTGAGAATTCCCTTCAAATTACCATTCACAAATTGAATGGAAAAAATTATCTTGAGTGGTCTCAGTCCATGCGGTTGGTGATCGACGTCAAAGGGAAACTCGGCTATTTGAATGGCGAAGTGAAACTGCCAGCCACTGATGATCCAAAGTACAGGCAATGGCGTTCTGAAAATTCGATGGTTACCGCCTGGTTGATCAACTCTATGGATTCGGTGGTTGGAAAACCATTCATGTTTCTGCCGACGGCTCGCGATGTGTGGGAAACTGTTAGGGAAACCTATTCAGATTTGGACAATCATTCATAACTGTTTGAACTGAATACCCGAATGTGGAAGATGCAGCAAGGCGAACATGAAGTAACAACTTATTATAATGAGATGATGGTTGTTTGGCAGGAGTTGGATTTATTTGAAGAAGAATGGGAAAGTCCCAGTGACAGTGCTCGGTACAAAAAGAAGATAGAAAGAGGTCGGGCTTTTGTCTTCTTGGCTGGTTTGAACAAAGAACTCGATGAGGTTCGGGGACGTATCTTAGGACGAAAGCCCTTGCCTACTATAAGAGAGGTTTTTTCAGAAGTGCGTAGAGAAGAAGCACGGTGGCAAGTGGTATTGAAGAATGTTAGTGAAACAAAAACAGAGAGTGAAGGGTCCGCTCTTGTGGCCCGAGGTGCAGACTTAGACGGAGATAAACGAGGAGGAAAGTAGAGGCCTCGGTGTGATCATTGTAGAAAGCCATGGCATACTCGAGAAACCTGTTGGAAGCTGCACGGGAAACCGGCGGGTTAGGACATCCTAGCTTTCAATATTTAAARAATCTATTTCCCAAGTTATTCATGAATAAAAATCATTCAGTTTTCAAGTGTGAATCTTGTGAATTAGCAAAACATCATCGTGTTGTTTTTCAGTCTCAACCATATAAAAAATCAAAACCATTTACCATGATTCACAGTGATGTTTGGGGCCCTTCTAGAGTAACAACTCTTTCTGGAAAACGTTGG